TTGATTATCATTCTCACTGTCTGTGAAACTTCATGTCCTCTTTGAATGGCACAGAGATGTAGCCACCGATAGCCGTGTAGACGATCCTGCCTGCGATTCTCCTTCAACAAAACAGACAGACAGTTTCCTCCATTTGGTTCTTATTCTAAATAAACAGTTGCCGTTTCAGCCATTTCTTATACTACTCACAGGCTTGTGCTGATGTGCCAGGAGAGACAGGGAGACTGAGTATTTCTTTATGGGTGAAATCGATATGAAAGTATAACTCCACCAACTCCTCACTGCCCCTCATTTTAACATGAGTTGCAAATAAATCTTAAACTGAAACTTTGCTAGTTTGCAAAAAGTTATTTCATAGCCACTTGGTCCTACCTAATGGAAACTGTTTGCCTTCAGTGTTTTGTGCTTATGATCATTTTAACATGATAAATATGATATGATAAATTTAGACATCAGCGTCAGACTAATTAATGACATTCTATTAAAAGTTTACCAAGAATATTTTCACCTAAAACGAGTTAATGAAACAAGAGTCTTGTTACAAAAATGGTAATAGGACATTAGTCATAATTAATCTTTTAGTACTTTTACTTTCGATACTTAAGTACATTTGAAGGCAAATACCTCTGTACTTTTACTCAAGTGGAGGTCTAAGGGAAGGACTTCTACTTTTACTGGAGTAATATTTTACCTTGGGTATCTCTACTTTAACTCAAGTGCATGATTTGTGTACTTCGTCCACCACTGGTTAAAGCAGTCTTCAGTGTCAATGGAACATGACCTGATAAAGAGCTGTTTGTGACGAAAGTGAAGGGCAGCAGGTCCATAGAGATTGAGTGGAGCAGTGTGGATGGGATCATCTATGAAGAGAGGAACAGTGAGGGAGAGTGTAAAAGAACATGATGATATGGGTAGTTGAGGGGGGTTACTGTGATATCTAATGCTGGGGTAGGTCTGCTGAAAATCAGGTCCAGAACATTGCCTGCTCTGGACATCAGAGGACACTGGTTGTGTTCAAAGGATGATGACAGTGGCAGGAGGCAGAATGACTGCAGCTTGTTTGATGGAAGGCTGAAGTCACAGAGGAGAAGAAGAATGTCTAAGTCATCTGTGAGATATCAGAGGTGAAAGAGACAATGATATGAAGTTAGATAGAGAAAAGATGCAGTAACAGCATGGTCATCAAATGAGGAAATTTAAAGACGAGAAAATGAGAGGAGTGAAACTGCACCATCTAGACAGAAGCACACCTGTGCCACCGCCCCTGTCAGTCTGTCTTGGAGAAGGAGAGAAGTTAAAGGAAAAGCATAGGAATCTAGAAGATAGAGTTTGCGGGGGTTGATCCAAGTCGCTGTCAAAGCCAGGAAGTGCAGCAAATGGGGGGATGCAAATGCTGAGATGAATTGCACTTGCAAAAGTGATTGGGTACTCCAGATCTGTGGGATGTGTAGACAGATACTGAAAAACACATGTTGGAAGTGCAGAAATGCAATAAATACAGGAAAAGAAATGAATAAAGAATGATATACAACTAACTCAAGGTTGATTTCTGTGTTCAGTGCAAAAGATCAGGTGCACCTAGCAATACTGCCATAAGATTTTCTCATTACTGCATTTAAGATCATTGAGATTAAGAGAAAATTTAGCATTGCAAATAGAAATATTGAAATTGAAATGAATAAATTCCAAACATTTGAGCATTTGCCAATAGGTAAACATGAGCATCATGTCGAACATTATTGTATACTTTTATGAAATTGTATACTTTTTGGAAAAATACGCCCATTTTGAATTTGACGCCAGCAACATGTTTCACACAAAAAAAAGTTGGGGCAGGGCTGTTTACACACTGCATTGCATCACCTCTTCTAACAACACTCCGTAAGCATTTGGGAACCGAGGAGAACAATTCCTGTAGTTTTGAAAGTGAAATGTTTTCCCATTCTTGCTCTATATAGGAATTCAGCTGCTCAACAGTTTGGGGTGTTTGTCATATTTTTTGTTTCATAATGCGCCACATGTTTTTAATGGGTGAAATTCCTGGACTGCAGACAGGCCAGTTTCGCACTGGGACTCTTACTACAAAGCCAAGCTTTTGTAATAGAGCAGAATGTGGTTAGGCATTGTCTTGCTGAAATAAGCAAGGTCTTCCCTGAAAAAGACATCTGGATGGCAGCATACGTTGCTGTGAAAAACTGTACATATCATTTAGCATTAATGGTGCCTTCACAGATCTGCAAGTCACCCATGCCACGTGCACTGACACACCCTCATACCATCATGGATGCTGGATTTTGAACTGCGTGCTGGTAACAAGCTGGATGGTCCCTCCTCTATTTGGGATTTCCATAAAGAATTTCAAATTTTGATTCGGTGGACAACAGGACATTTTCACCTCGCCTCAGTCAATCTTAAAGTAACTCAGGCCCAGAGAAGGCAGCGGTGTTTCAGGATTGTTTATACATGTTTTCTTCTTTGCCTGGTAGAGTTAACTTGCTTTTGTGGATGCAGCCACAAACTGTCTTCACAGACAACAGTTGTTGGAAGATTCCTGAACCTTTTACATAAAAGCATGTTTCTGAGACCTGTTGCTGGCAGCAAATTCAAAATGTGCTTTCAATTTTCAAACAACAAAAGGTCAGTTTCAACATCTGATATCTGGTCTTTGTACGATTTTCAATTAAACATATGATTTAAATGATTTGCACATGGTTGCATTCTGCTTTTTTACATTCTGCACTGCATCACAAATTTTATTGGAAACGGGCATGTACAGAGAGTTTGGTGTAGAGAAGACAAAAGACAATGATCCTGTAAACTCCAACTCTGTTTCATTCACGTTCTTCTTCTGAAGCCAATCCACACTGCAGACTGAAAGAACAGAAAACACAAATTAGTGAGAAACAAAATGACTGATTTTCACTTTGTAAAAAAGCCATTGTGGACCATGTTGTCAAACTCAAGAAGAACAGAGTGCACCAATGAAACAGTGAAGACATCAAAGCACTGATCCTCGACAAGACACAACTCACCTGGACGGCACAGAGAGCTGAATTTGCCAAGTCACAGGAACCCACCGTCCTGATACAATCCAATGAGAGGTTTGGCATGTGCATACTGATTGGTCTCAAGAAAGGATTTAAAATTTAAAGTCCAGGTACACACTCCATATATTCTATCAAATAAAACACAGCTAAACCAATTACAACAACGTGTAAATAGGTATAGTGTAGTGGGTTAATTGCCAATTATTACACTGCACAGTCATTGGTAGACACGAACTAGGGAAAAAAAGTATGGTATTCCTACCATGCTGGATCACTTCCCTGAACACTGACTCGCATTTCTTCCTCTGGTCAGTCCAGCCAGGCACAGATGTCAGCATGTCCAGGCCAGGAGAAAGCTAGTTCAGAAATATTCCACGCATGTTAAAACATTTTTACGTTTGGATTCAGCAAAATTCTAATGATTTCATGTCAATTAGTTTCCTCCTAACATCTGTTCATTTGCACACAGTATAGTTAAAATCAGACCAAGTGTTATGCAATAATTGCATTGTATAGGACCTTACTGCAGGTCTCCACTTTTCTGGACTTCCTCCACTTGCAAGACCACAGGTGCAAAAAAAAGCAAAAAATTGGGCAAATTTAAAAAAGGCCAGTTGCTAAAGAAACTCTGCAGATATCAAGCTGGTGTTCTATAATGAAAAAAGACTCACCTGGACTGACATGTACAGAAAACAAATGGAGTGTCCATCTTACCCATTCACAGGAAAACTGTGCCTCGTCGACATGCTGTTAAACACTGTTTACCATGTCACTAGTGTGAATGTACAAAAAACAGGTCATTTTAAATGTATTTACTGCATTTAGTACACGCACATTCAAAGTGACTTACAAAAGCGCTTTGTTGTTCACTCAGTGTATCATAGCAAGTACAAAAAGTAAATCAGAAAATAGCAATAAATATTACATCACCATGAAAAAGACCATAGAGTGAAACCACAAGAGGAGCCAGCATCGAGCCTTGTGGGACTCTGTTGGAGAGCCTGCATGTAGCAGACCCTCTCCATGTTACTTGATATAAGCGCCCCTCAGGATGGGACTCGCACCACTTCCACGCAGAGCAATTCAGTGTTGGTGAGGATAAATGGGCAGATCTTGTGGATGACTTTTGAAGGCTGCAAAGAGTTCATAAAGAATCAGAACCAGCTTCTCAGGTCACTGCTATGAGGGCAGTTTCTGTTGAGTTCTGAAACCAGACTGCTTGTGGTCCTGGAGCTGGTTGTGAGTTAGAAAGGGTAACAATTGATTACAGAATGTACATTTAAGAATTTTTGATGGGAAAGAAGAGGGAATATGGTGGGTAGCTGCTGACAGTGGAGCCGTCAAATGCGGGATTGTTCACGAACTGAACTACCCTGGCAGTCCTGGATGCCAGTGGAATGTGATCTGATGACAGCTGTTCATGATTAAAGTGATGAAGGGCAGCAGGAGTGGAGCAGTGCAGATGGGATCTGTGATCAGAAGAAACAGGTAAGGGCATTAAGAGCAAGAGGATGAGCTGGGATTTCTTCCATCTTCACTCAGCCATTCTTACTTCTCTCTGGTTGCTGCGGAGGACATCTGTCAGCCAGGGGGAGAGTGAGGAAGATCTTGCAGGCCTGTAGGAGCGGACACAGAAGATGGACTGCAGATGAAAGTAAAGAAATGAGAAAATAGCAGCTGCATCCAGGGAGAGAGAAGAAAATGAGTCTGGGTGGATCAGAGTAGATAGAATGAGCTTGAAAGAGACAAAGGAGGGGTGGACCGCAGGTTGTGCCGAGTGAAGGAAGAACTTGAAGGGGTGACTAACAGGAAGACTAGGGAGGAAGACTAGGGAGGGAGAGTAGGGAGGAAGAGTGTGAAAGTGATCTGAGCAGTTGAGGGGGGTAACTGTGATATCCAGTGCTGGGGTAGGTCTGCAGAGAATCAGTTCCAGAATGTTGACTGCTCGCTGCCTGGCAGAATGATGGCAGCCTGTCCAATGGAAGGTTGAGGTCACTGAAGATCTAGATCTGAGGTTTGTAGACAGATATTGAAAGTCACATGGTGGAAGTGCAAGAATGCAGTAAAGAAATGAATGAAGAATACTTAGCCAAGTTTGAAAGGCCCCATCTTCGGGTTGAGTGGAAAAGATTATGTCCACCTACCAATACTGCTGTAAGCATAGGAATGAGGTAAACTTAAGATAATCGAGGTTATATGCAGGAGATATGAAATCATTGCAAACAGAAATATTGAAATCGAAGTAAATAAATCTGAATAAATCTGAGCATTTCATAATACAAACATCACATTCAATTAACACAGCACACAGCTGAATGCCAGTAAAGTAATATGCTGAACCATCCTAAACAATAGTTAGGATCCTGAATGCAAAGCACAGTTTCAGCTCCCAACACAATTTAAGGTATGCATTGCATAGTTTGGCCTGCCAACCACAATTCATTGCACAGAATGTATTGTTTAGGTGGATCTCTGGACAGAGTCTGGTCTAGAGAAAGCATTGCACTCACTGCTGTAGAAAGCAAAGCGGTGTCGCATCCCAAAAAACACAGTACACAGATTGCTTGATCCACTTACATACACACAAGGACATGAATCACTGACCACTCAAATACACAGTGTAGAGAGTACAACACTAATGATTAACATACACAGAGTTTGGTGTAGAGAAGACAAGACTGAATGAACCTGTATAAACAGCTCTCCCCACTGTGGCATCCATCTCAAGGTCATTCACGTTCTTCTGAAGCAACTTAAGAGTGAAAATGCAAACTTAGGAAAAATAATAAAAAAAAAACAAAAAAACACAAACACTAAAGAAAGATATTAACAAGCTTTGTAGCCAAATGACATTATATGAAGGTGTTGTGGTAAAATGCAATCTTGGTTTCCAGAACACAAAATCTTCAAAAGCAGCAAAAAGAAAACCAAGGTTGGGTAACGTTTTGATGATTACTCTGCCATCTCTTAGGGTTAGGTCAGGGGTCAGCAACGTGCGGCTCTTTTACTGCACTGTCGCAGCTCCACAGCAGAATTAGATGTTAAAGTAAAAAATAAAAATCGCTCTATGCAGTAAAATAAAGCTCTACTGATCGTGCTAACACAGTATTAAACGTTGGAGTTAAGGTATAACTGCTGATTCATCAACATTTAACCTTGAAGGTCAGTGCGAAAACTACTGGTCACATAACACGGGCAACAGTCTTGCCTAGCTAACAGCTAACGAAAAGGCAAAGAGAAAAATTTAAGACGAACATTGATTATTTGGATACAACTGGACTTGCATTTATAAGCAGTTAGCTGGTTTCCTGATGCATTTAATCTTCAACAAGAAACGGTCAAACACCAAGGTCACAAAGCTGAAGTCAGGTTCTCGTTCGCAAGCTTGTTCAAATTTTCGCGTTTCACCTTAAATGTTGCAGCAGTTACATTCTGGCGCCTCAGGCACCATTTAAGGTGGAACAGGAAAATTCCAAAAAGCAGCTGGTGAATGAGAACCTGACTTAAGCTTTGTGACTTTAGTGTTTGACCGTTTTGCTTTACAGATTAAATGTATCAGGACACCAACTGAGTGCTGAGAGGTAACTTCAGCCTCAAACCCCAACAGACATTTTCAAGAAACTATTCCACTTTTGGGAAAGTTTCCTGCAGGAGACGCGAGAAAAACACTACAGCTGAACTAAAGTTTAAAGCAGAGCAAATTAAGTCTGTGGGAGGAAGTAATCTGTATTCCCGCGAAAACGCTTCACTCTCTTACAAACTGAAAATAAATTCCTATTTGAATTTTCCGCTCCACCTTAAATAGACTGCAGTTAGAGCCTGGAGCCCCAGGCTTCACATTTTCATTCTCTGTTCCACCTTATATTGTGCAGCAGTTCCATTCTAGCACTCCAAGCTTCTTATGTGAAAACTTCCATTCCACCTGAAATTCTGTTCCACCTTAAACGGCGCCTGAGGCACCAGAATGCAACTGCTGCACCATTTAAGGTGGAACAGAAAACTGCAATAAGAGGCTGGAGAATAAGAAGCAACTTCACCTCGGCATTTTTTTCTTGTGGTCATTTTGGGCCGTTTGTAACACTGAAGCAAAACGCGGGAAAATCAGGGTGACGTCGCGCGCTCTAAAGGTCTTAAACTGTGCGCGCGGCTGAGTATCATTTAGTGACTGCTTAATTTTCCACAGAGGTCAGAGAGGAATCTTCTTTTGTAGAGACGCTGAGGAAGAGCACAGAATAAAGAGACTTTACAGCAGTTTAACTCTGTCTCTCTACTTCTCTCAGCTAAGAAACGGTTCTGAAGAACACAGCTCGGTTCTGCTGATACTGTTCGGAGAACCCACACAGACTTAGTGACGGTCAGTTGGTTACAGAGAGCAGCACCACATCTTACCTGATGAAGGTCCAGCCGAAATACGTGAGGCTCCGGCTCTCAACACCTGTATATATACTGTTACAGCTTCCCATGATGCACTGCTGCTGCACCACGTGTTCAGAAAGCACTTTCAGAAACGTTATTTTTCTTATTTATTTATTTTACTGTCTAGTTTTTTTTACAAACAGTTTTTGCTGCTCAAAAACAGAAAATTATGGAGCCCCGCTGGTGACATCCTGTATAAATAAAAATAATGTGTGGCCACATCTTATTAACGCGTGGGAACAAGATCCTAATGCGTTCCCACGACTGGGAATGAGATGACGGCTTACTAAGTCGTGGCCACACATTAGGATCTCGTTCCCACGCTTTATTAAGTCGTGGCCACAACTTAATCATCTCATTCCCACACCTTACTAAGTCGTGGCAACGCATTATTTTTATTTATACAGGATGTCACCAGTGGGGCTCCATAGAAAATAAATCTGCCACATGATGCTAAATTTTTATGACACTAAATTTATTTGCCTAAATGCATAATTTTTTCACGGAAAAATAAAAATTCCAATAGTTTAGATTTTTACAGTACAGAGCCCCGCTGTTGACATCCTGTATAAATAAAAATTATGCGTGGCCATGCCTTATTAACGCGTGGGAACGAGATCCTAATGCATGGCCACGACTTAGTAAGGCGTGTGAATGAGATGATTAAGTCGTGGCCACGACTTAGTAAGGTGTGGGAATGAGATCACAGCTTACTTAATCATCTCATTCCCACGCCTTACTAAGTCGTGGCCACGCATTATTGTTACTTATACAGGATGTCACCAGTGGGGCTCCGTATTACAGAGCCCCTAAAATGCCTTTGAAAAAAATACAAAGTCACTGGCCTCCCTCGCAAAAGTTTTGTGTCTTCATGCAGAATCCACTGCATTTTACAAGGAGCACAAAACATTTTCGAGAGAATTCAATACATTTGCGAGGGAACACAAAATTTTATCATTTCACATTAAACGTTTGAATAAATAATTCCAAATATATTCATTTTGTTCAAGGTAGAACGAGAGAATATTCATAAACAGTGTATATACAAAATTCTAGAAATAATTAAATGGAAATGATGAAATGTACTCAGATCTTAATTATTAAAGATGCGTATGTGGTAAATAGACTCCAGTTATATTGTGTCAAAGTGGCTTTAAGTCCAAATTGTCTAAATAAGCATTTTGTCTATGTAAGGACTTTTCCCCTTTTTAGGTTTGTATCCAAAAATGCAACATTTAGAGGATGTTGTCCCTCTCTAATAGCCTCTCAGAATGTAGAGGTCATTTCAGACTTTCCTAAGGACAAGTAGAGGTGTGTAGAGTATGTGGAAGCCACCAAACCATCCAAATGGTTTTAATGTTATTATGATAACTTTTTTTCTCTTGCTTACTATTTAGGATCTGATTAACACCCTTGGCACTGTTTATATGAATCCACAGCAGAAAAAATTGCCACTGACAAAGGCAATGGACACTGTCGAAGCAGGAGTCATATAGGGGTATAGCAGAGTGTAATGAATACAGAGTGTTCCCTTCAGGGCCAGAGCTTTTTGTATTCCTTGCAGTTCTTATTTGATTCATTTTGTCAGCCAAATACTGTTTATCTGGAAAAGTATCCAAATTAATTAAATATTCCCGAAACCATTGCAATCGCATCATGTTTTTATTGTTGACTCACCATTTTTCAGCCTTTCTGCAACAGTTTTTGATACACATAAGGTGATATTTCCTTGGCTGTCCAAAATGATAAGGATGTGGTCCATGTTGTGATGTTATTACACATATAACAAGAAGCAGTGGCCTTATATACCAAAAGGTCTAAAAGAGAAATAGTGTACACCTGTTCCAAATGTGTAGATTGTTATTCTTAATTTGTAGCAATATGCCAAAATGGCCACTCAAAACACATCTTTCCACTGAGCAGTGACTGCCTTTTAGATTTAGTGAGTGGTCTTTAGCCTACAAACTGAACACATTTCAATTAGCATTGAATGCCATTGTGTGTGCCATTTAGGTGAATTATCCTACTCCTAAGTGGTGTGTATGAAACTGCAGTTTGTAAGTGCGTATATTCATATATTGTCAACATCAGTGATGACATTAAATTGTTGGGAGATAAAACTAACCTATTATAACTAATCACATAACATGCAATACTGGATTCTATTTTATGGATGTATTGTGTAACAGTACTTCAGTAGGCACACCAATAAAGGATGTGCCCAATCCTAATGAATATCGGGGTTAATTTGTACATTGTATGATTGTGTAGAAGTCAGTGCTTCTTCAGGCACAGACAAAGCAATTATTCAGGCATTGAAGATGAATAGTGGCTGTGGTTAATTGAAGATGAATTTCTTAACACAATCGTCTTCTGAACAACACATTGTTTTGTTTTTATATTCCAAAACAGCTTACTTTCTGGCGTTGGTTCTTGTAAAGAAACATAACACCAAGCTCATTCACACAGCTTTATTTGTTTATCATATTTTAAAACTGAGAAAAATAAATCAAAGTGCAATAGTAATGCAGTGCTTTAAAAAAAGTTATAAATCATAAAAGCATTTCAGCGTGCTTCATAAAATAAGACCAAAGACAAAGACCATTAAAAGTTCTAGAAAAATATCAAGATAAAAAGATAGATATGTTAGATTGAAGAAATATGAGGCACTGAAGTCTCTTCACGACAGGAAATGATAATTATGACGTAGGTTGAATAATGCGCGGAAATAAACTGTCAGGCTACTAGAGAGCCTGATAGTATTAGTGTAAATATAGGGTCTTTAAGAGCTCCAGCGGAGATTTACATTTTAGAGCAAAGTTTCATTGTAGAATAAAACGAAACACACGTCAGAGGTGTTAGCGGAGCTTCTAGCCAATGAGGATTAAGTTCTATTGTCATCAAGCCATCTCTCAGCTCGCGCAGCTCGTGGGAAGCAACTGCAGCGACTGGCTCTGGAGCCTGCAGCTGCCTCGTGCTCACCAGATTATAACGCCTTATCAGAGCCGGTTTATTTTATTTCTACAAGTTCTCTGGCCTTATGTCATCGTGACGCGCCGATGGCGCTGACGCAAGTCGGACAAAAAAACTAACCGGCATGCACCGTACCGAGCCAGGCGGCGATCGGTCTGCGCAGCGCCGGGTTAAGTCGAACACGTCTACTGTCATTTTTTAACCACACCTCCTTAGAGGCTCCGTAGGTTTTCACAACATTTCAGGTATATATAAATATTTTTTTTGCTAAAGTTGAACATAAAAAGTATTACTGATGGTTTCCATTTCCACAGCCCACATCCTCAAACTTTTAGAAGCGTTAAAATCCTTCGGTTGAAGTAGAGCTACTGTTTCCATCAGTTAC